GTGGATTTTCCAGTAAGTCATCCAGGAACCTGCCGCGTTTCAGACCGTGCAGCAGGGCAGACAAGCAGATGGTATCAGGGACGTTATCAATATCTAAAGTTGCCTTGTTGAATCGCTGCATGTAGTCCCTCAAAGATTCTCCCTCTTTCTGGTGAACTTGCATCAGCTCGGTCGCCGTGCGTTTAATCTCCCTTTGGCTCGCAAATTTGTTGGAAAACAGCTTGGCGAGCTGGGAGTATGAATCTATAGAGTGTCTGGGGAGTTTGTGGTACCATCTTCTGGCTGTTGACTTCAGGGTTGCCGGGAACACTTTGCACATCATGGCGTCATTAGCGTTTTGGATTCTCATGATGGCCTGATAGGTGTGTAAATGCTCATCCGGGTCGCCCGAGCCGTCATACGTCTCCAAGTGGGGGATTTTGAACCCCTCCTGATACGGCTCCGCTGTGATGGATAAGTTTAGTGGGGCGCTGTCTAAATCCAAAGTCTGTTGATGCGACCTGGGACTTTTCAGCTCGTCAATAGACTTTTGTACGTCCTGTAGCTGTCTCTCCAGGTCCGCGTTCTTTCTCATCAGTTCTTCACTGTGTTTGGACGAGCTGGGCTCGATATTCAGTTTCCCACTTCCCCTTGGCCTGGTCGGCACCACTATGTTGCTTAGAGCGGGGGAGTTTCGAGTTGCAACAACCGCAGCTGGCTGTGCATCCCTGTTCAACAAAGGAATCAGGGGGTCATCAGGAATCAGACGGGCAAGGATTTTTCCCATTGCCATTTCGAGAACTCTGGTTCTTTCTTCGAGCTCGGTCGTCCGAGCAGGTTCCGTGGACCTTTCAGGTCGTTCATGCTGTGAGTTGTGTGGTCTAGAAGGTCTTTGTCTTGTCCCCGTTGGAACTTGGAACTGTTCAGGTTGGGTTGCATACCCCGTTGGTGTTCGTTCATCATCCGTTTCACTTAGGTGCTCCTGTTCGGCTCCCCCGACGAAGAGGTTTCTTGGCATTGGCCTAAAGTCATTCAAACCAGGCTCAAATGCTTGAGTGTCTTCCTGTTCGTCCGTCTCATTTCTTGGGGGGCGATCTCCTGTAAAGGTTCGAACCATTTTCTTTCAGCAGGCTAAGCTACAC